CTACATTACCCTGAAAGCTGCTTCAATAGAGAAACAGAGAAATGGGCGTTGTTAGACTTGAGAAGGACATTTTCCGTTTTCGCAAGTTCATGGCAACGAAAGGGTCTCATTTTGCTGAGACGTGTGAACACTTGTGAAGCTGCGAAAATGGACAAGTGAACCACTTCGGCTGCACGAGTTTACAGGTCTTAACAAGGCGGCCTGAACAAGCTCTGTTGACAATGAGTAACATTTAGAGCCCCTCCAGGCCAAACTGCACCGAAAAATGCACTCCACTGTTGAAGTTGATAGCGTTTTAGTGCTAGAACCCTTAGGTTGCACTTCGTGAAACATTTTTCCGGGCAATTGTTGTGACTTAAACAGGGAAGTTTTAGTGTATTTGCATGATTTCTTATGACATGAGCTCTGCTTGACGTGATTCCGACTACTTCGACTTTCTCACAGAATAAGGTAACAAATTTCTATGAAATAAGCTATTGAAATGAAGGTCCGAGAATTCGAGAAGAAACGATTTGCTACAAAAGGACCCACAAGGCGTTCGAACTCCCGCGCGCTGCACGGCGACCGTTTGCTTTTGGCGAAGATTCAATTCTGACGGTAAAAATGTTGAAATTGAATTTACCACGTTGCTTTCATTCCACGTTGTTAAAAACATGTGAAAACGGCTCGCGCCTTACCCGAGCAAAAAGGCCCATTGAAATCACACAATTCAACTTATTGGATTTAATATTGTTTTTTATGGATGTAGTAGTGTCTGGTAAAAATAAACAACCCGCTCCACTGAGAATAATGACTGTGAGCAGCACAGTGAATGAACATGTATAGGCCCACAAGACTGAGACTATTTATTAGAGCAAAAGTGACTCCCCCCCTCCCCCTTTAGGCCGCGTTCATAGCTTGCGTTCGTGAAGAAATGCAGAAATGCGGGAAATGCAGAAGTGCGGAATCTGCAGGAAAGCAATAGATACTTACCGACTTGAAGAAAGAAATGCAGAAATGCGGGAAATGCAGAAGTGCGGAATCTGCAGGAAAGCAATAGATACTTACCGACTTGAAGAAAGAAATG